TCGCAGAGATTTGAGAGGAATAGATGGATTTGGGACTTCCCAAATCCATCGCCAACATCTTCGCCGCTCGGAACATCGCCACCGCCAAGGTTTCCACCTTCAACCTCCTCCTTTATCTACCATAGAAACCCATTTGCGCTCCTAGAATTTCTTAATTTTTATGCATCACTTTAGATTATAATCTTTTAGGTTGATAGAAAAAGCATTTTTTTTTGGGGGGTTCTGGGGGATTTAAATATGGGCATTGTAAAATTCATGATTTTGGGGAAATTTTGAATGGTTTTGCTTGTAGGTCAACGGAGTTTGAGCTGATGGAGTTGCTAGATGTGGGGTTGGCAGAAGTGAGATCTGCATTAGCACACATCAGTGAGAAGGTCTGTCCACCTTTTCAAACTGTAAGCATGTTTCTGATCTTAATTCTTCAGTTCAATTTTAAGGGTTTTTTTTTTTCATTTCCTTTGCTTTCTCTTGAACTTTTGGTTTGAAACGAGTCATGTTTCCAGGCATTGTCACTGATGGAGCAGAGGGTTCAAAATGAGAAGTTTTCAGGCCATCTTCCAACAGGTCTGGAAGGATTAGATACGGCCTTATGTCGTGGAATCCCATTTGGTTTTTTGACTGAACTGGTTGGTCCTCCTGGAATTGGCAAAACGCAAGTATGGTGGTGAAATGGTTTCATTTTGGGCCTTCTTTTTGATGGTTTTGGTTAGATCCTTTACTGTTATCATGAATGTAACATAAAAGGAAAATCATGTTAAGAAGCTTGTCTTAAATACATAATTGCAGTTCTGCTTGAAGCTCTCTTTATTGGCCTCATTACCAACGAGTTATGGAGGGCTGAACGGCCGTATGATATATATTGATGTTGAATCCAAATTTAGTTCAAGTGGGTACCTGAAGCAGACTAGTACTTATTTCTGTTTCCTAACTTTATTTCCTTTGTTTCAAAAGAAAAAATGAATACAGAACTTGTAAGTTACATATAAATCTGCCCTTGTTCAGGATGATAGAGATTGGAATTACAAGTTTCC